ATCCAAACGGGCCCTAAGACACCAATGACTATTATAGGTTAGTTACAATTTTACTCTTAACTTAAAAGATTATGCAATTCTCAAAGTATAATAAATGTATTTTCTGATTCCAAAAAACATGCATTACAACTTAGAAATTTTCTTGAATTAAATAAGGGCATATTAGAAAAAAAATTATTATCCTTTCTTGATCTGTTAAAATGGACTAAGTAAATAGGGACACACAAAAAAAAGGAAAATGATCAAATATGCCCCTAAACCATTTGAAAAGGTTTAGATATACCCTCCGTTTAAAATTTGATTCACTACTGCCCTCGCCGTCCAACTTTTGGTCCAAATATGCCTTTATGGGCGTTAGTTGTCATGTTGATTTATGGATCGGATTAGGTGTGTATGAGTCCGAATATCTTTTCATTTTCATATAAATGTTATGTGGTAAGGTCAAAATGGCATGACAATTCATGTGGCATTTAAAGAAATAAAAATTAGTTGAATATGTCCAACATAGCAACTAACGCCCATAAGAGCATATTTGGACCAAAAGTTGGACGGCGAGGAAATCAGTGAACCAAACTTTAAACGGAGGCTATATCTAAACCTTTTCAAATAATTTAGGAACATATTTGACCCTTTTCCCTAAAAAAAAATATGAACAAATAAATGGAGACAATAATACAAACATGATTATTTAAAGTAACAATAGAACAAGTTACCATTAACATGTTTAGCAGCTTGTTCAAGAGTCGTGCCAAAATACTGCTGTTCCAAAACCTGTCGAGTTATCCCATAAGTTTTTTCTATCCTCTCTTTTGCAACTTTTTTCTTTGATTGACTAATTCCAGATCTATCAATATGAACATTCGATTGCGAATCAGCTTCATGAGCAACTTGTTGTATAAAAGAAGCATCAAGTTGTGCTGGTTCTTTCGAAAGCCAATACTCATCAATTTCAGAGGAATTGAGCCCAACATCATGGTAATTGAGTTCTGGTTGGGATGATGGAGAATCAGAAAATGTTATTAATTGTTCAAGTTCTTCGAAAATTTTGCTCCTATAATCAATGCAATTTTGTTTGGTGCTAGTGTACGTATCGACCTAAATGTACACCCAACACACCAAAAAACAATAGTAAGATTGTGAATTCTAGTTCTACTTCCTTCTCTTTCCAATTATAAGATTGTGAATTAAGGAGCAAAAATATGTGAGAGCTTTTATTAATTAAAAAACACCACAAATATTATATTAAGGGTTCAAAACTCTCTCTGCTTACCCAAACCTTTGACATTTTCTTATCTTTTTTTTAAGTATAAATTTAAGGAATCCCATGGTGTAATTCAATAATTACATTCTGTCCCGATAAGTTTAATAATTACAAAAAATCCCTTAAAATTGCTGAGCCGTGATACTTTAGAAAGTTGTGATACATGGTAAATGATACATAGTAACTTAAAACTGTTAAGAAAAAATAGGGGATAAAAACGGTAAATTTAAAGCTGTTACTAAAACAACTTAATTTGTGGTAACAGATCATTAATCAGCATTAAATCAGCACTTAATTGGATATTAATTTCATAATTTGAAAATCAAAGATTGTATCAGTTATTTAGAAAACAATTGGAGCTGCCGAAATTTTTTTGTTGTTGTAGTGGGTTTTTGAAGATGAATACTTCGATTTTGATGAGACATTCCGGAATTTGGGTGAACGAATTGCAGTATGAAAATTACAAAAGTGATGGAA